CAATGTCATCTGCGTAGACCAACATGTCTACGCCGTCCACCAACGTAACATCAATATCACTAATAAATAAGTTAAAGAGCAACGGACTCAGGGGGCTTCCCTGTGGAAGTCCAATAAAAGATTTTCTAGTGATTCGGTTAGGGCCTGCCACCGATATTGACCTTTCACTACAAAGGGACATCAGACAATTTATGAGCGGTGATGGAAGACTTTTACAAATTAAAACATTTTTTAAAATATCCATTGATACATTGTCATATGCTGACTTAATATCTAAAAACAAGCCACCATATGGTGACTCTGTGCAAAAGCACTATAAATATCCGCTAGTATCGTTGCTATATTATCCTGAGCCCCACGACCTCTTCGAAAACCCGTAAAAAAAATCAGGTAATTGGTGGAATTCTTCACACCATTTTTCCATTCGGTTTTTTTTTATCGACTCAAATGTTTTTTTCAAGCATGAGGATAGAGCAATCGGTCGGTAACTGGCCGATAGGGAGCTTGGTGCTCCTGGCTTTAAAATAGGACGAATCGTAATTTCCTTCCAAACACTTGGGATGGTAACTCCATTTAAAAATTTGTTGTAATAACTTATTAAAATATTCTTATATCTTCGGGGAGTGCCCTGATCATTGGGTACGAAATGTAATCCGCACCCACCTCTCTCCCATCGTGTCTCTAGCTTTCATAAGCACTGCCTCCAATTCTGCAAGTGATATGTTGTCCACCATATATAGACAGTTGTTTCATTTATTTTAATATTTATCTGCCACGTCCTTATTTACTCGAAAATTTAGTCTTTAGAGTCTCAATAGTTACAAATATTCCTAATAAAAAATTCTTTCCAAAAAATGTGCGTTAACCAATCACTGTTCTAGCATTGCCCAATATGTATATTGTAGTTATCATCTCAACGAACCATATGTCTGTTTGTTTGCATTTCAGAAAAAAAAACATGATTTTTTTTCTTTTTCCTGTTCTAATCTAGTATTTGTTATTTCTTATAATACTCTCTTCTCAAATGTAACATTCCTTATTTGTATAATACTATTGTTGATATTTTTCTCCTTATGGCCATATTTGGATCATGATTTTTCATGTCTTTCATTATTTTGCTTTCCAAGTAGGAGGTTATATCGTTACAATATTGAATATACACATTGTATACGAGTTTATGAATAGTTTCTTGAAGTTCATATTATTTTGTTTATATAAAATGCAACATTCAATATTATATATTGTGCATATTATAATTGATCGTTAGGAATGTGTACATAGTTTGGAACAAGGCTTCAGTGAACTGTTGTTGATTATGGATAGTTGGGGCATGTGGGCGCCCTGAATAAATAATTGTGGAGCCCTAGGCATCAGTGGTGATCCAGGCTTAGCAACAAAACATGTATTCTTGAATTCTAATTCAAATATTTTTCGTGGAAAAGTAGATAATAATGGTGGCCCTGGGCTACAACTCATAAACAACACTACAAAAAACATTTTGGCTTGTAGGCTCCTTAATGGATAATTTGTCACTGTATGAAATACTCTTTGAGGCCCTTAACTAACACTGTTTGGAATGATATACAATTAACCAAAGTTAGTCATAGATGTGTTTATTTTTTTACCCCTTTGATTTTTATCCTTTTGATTGAACGGGACCCTGAGCCCTAGCCCATGCTTAAATCCGCTCTTGTACGATTGGATAAAATTAAATATCATCTGATATGATCAGTTCTTATTAAAAAAAAGCGATATTTTAAATATGTCAAATATCAATAATTACGAAATCTTTAAACAAGTCGCTTTTGAAAAAAAATCTGAATATTATTTTATTTACGTCATATGTGTATGTTTGAATTTCAGTGTTTTTGTCTTTTTATCATAAATCATAAAAATGTGGGTGAGTTCGAATTTTTTGTACCAATTTTTACAAGAATTATCATTTCATAATGGTCCACATGATGATGGTTCCTATTGATAAGCATATTTAAAATTCTTACATTAGCAATTTTAATTTCATCAATTTTATAGTTGAATCAGTTTCATTTTTTAATAATTAAATCATATATTATAAAATTATAGAAACATATAATTTATGAAATTATAATGCTGGAGACTTAAATAACTTTAACTGCAGGCAACCGCAGAGGCATCGCCATTTGTAACTCAGTTGAAGTCCGTTCAGTTGGTAGCACCGTTTAACCTTTTTGTTCTTTAGGGCTGTCGGTCTCTGGTGAAAATGTCCACAAATAATATAGAAAACGAGGTAAATATTCATCAATCACGTATTTGCTTAGATGTCAAAATCGTATACATCGCCACCCCAAAAAAACTTCCCCCACGAGTGCAGAAAGCAACGCGTTTACTTTTGCATTAATCTCTTAGAACTGCCATATTGTGTCAGTGTGTGAGTGCTGCTACATCCACATAAACTACTTTCACCAAAATTGGCATCTTATCATAGAACCCATTTTTTTATTTTTATATTTTTTGGTATAATCTATACCAATCTACAATGTCTTGCCTTACACTTTCAACTCACTTGGTAACTATTACAGTATTTTTTTTAATTTAATTTAATATTGGAAACTCGCTGGTTGTTTTGTTAATTATGAATTTATATTTTACAGAATGAAAAGAACGATAATAAAGATCAAGAAATTGTGGATAATGTAGATTTCACAATCAAGCACCCTTTGCAGAACAAGTGGACACTTTGGTATTATGAAAATGATAGGACCAACACATGGGAAAAAAACCAAAAGGAAATTGCTTCGTTTGATACTGTTGAAGATTTCTGGAGGTGCGTATATATAAATATTAGATATGTTTCACTTTAAATGCAAAGAGAATTTCCGCTTGCAGTATTACCTATGCTGGCTGTTCAGACACTTTGCAATAACATACATATTGATGATATTAGTTACTAAAGTTGCATATAAAATAATTCATGCAATTTAATTAGATATTGTCATACATGCAAATTTAACTGCTTAGTGAAATCAATTCATATAATTTGTTAAATCTGTTTGCAGTTTGTACAACCACATTAAACTAGCAAGTGAATTACGGCAGGGATGTGATTACTCGCTATTTAAGGCTGGAATACGTCCCATGTGGGAAGATGCTGCTAACAAACGTGGAGGCAGATGGCTAATTAATTTGGAAAGAAAACAGAGATCTAATGATTTAGATAGATTTTGGCTTGATATTGTAAGTTGGCGTTACTTAATTATCTATCTTATATTAATTATGTTTATTTATTTGTGCAGATCCTTTGTTTAATTGGTGAAGCGTTTGAAAATTCAGATGATGTTTGTGGTGCTGTTGTGAACATTCGCGGTAAAGGAGACAAAATTGGCATCTGGACAGCGGATGCAACGAACTCAGAAGGCGTCAAGGAAATCGGCCGCAAATTGAAAGATAGGTTACATATAAAACAGAAGGACACTATTGGTTACCAGGTGCATAAAGACACTATGGATAAGTCAGTCGCCAAGAACTTCTACACCGTTTAACCAAATTGAAAATCTTGTATTAACTTAAAAAAAACAATATGTTTAGTCCCATTGCTTGATAATCTTGCTGATCCTTTCAAATTACAGATCATAACTATCGTTTTATTTATTTTCTTTTTCTGTACCGGCCTATGAATTTTGTACTTTATTTTTTCTTTTCAATTTCTCAAACCTATCGCTATCTATTATTATTTTCCTTTTTGTATTATTTTCTTTTCGGTGTTCTGTAATTCTGTTTGAAATTTGCAAGATTATTAATGATTTATAATAATTCTTATTTTTTTTGTCATCTGAGTAATATGTTCATTTTGAGAAGGAAATATATATATAACAGCGTACTTGTTAAAAAAAACACAATGCTTGTTTCATCTCTGTGTATTTATTTAATATTTGATTGCTATTATTGGATTTCTTTTCATTTTCTTTTATTATTATTTGTTTTACAGAGGAGAGTTATAACAAGTCTCACATATACACTGTATTTATATTATAAACAATTTCTATTAAACGACAGTTAAAACATATTTACTCTTTATTTGTGTAATTATTTCATTTTGGAATACATTTGATACTTACAGACTCATTATTTTCAAATTTTTCTATCCATTTAAATCCAAACAATATTACTTCCTTTATAAATATATAGTAACACGGCCACAGCAAGGAAATTTAGCTGTAGAAACTACACAGATACATGTAGGTAGGCTTAATACAATAAAAATTGTTAAATCATTGGATTCAATATGCGTTGAACATAGATAAATGAAAATCAAATGGCTAATGTAACAATTTAATAACAATATTATAAGTACATTGGAACCTCGCTTAACAAGCAACTCGTATAATGATCATTGCCCTTAACGAGCAAAACAAATTGTAAAAATATGACTCGCTTAACGAACGACATTTCGCATAACGAGTGACGAAGAGAAGTCCCGGATTGTGCGCCGCTACATCATTTTACAAACTTGTGTTCAGACATATTATGTGTATTTTATATTGATACTTTGAATATATTACCTTCGATTATCATCTTTGTTTATAGTGGACTATGCTTTGACAAATATAATTTGTGTTTGCTGTAAAACTAAACAAGAAAGTAATGTGTCCATCTATTATTATAGTATATAAACAAACTATGTACGCTTTTTTATATAAACAAATATAAAAAGTATAAAGAGACCCCCACAAATACCTCGGATCGATACAAGTAATACAAGCAAATGAAGTTATAAACTCCACCATGAGCAAACAGTTTCTGGTGTTAATAGTAGCATATTAGTGTCGTTTATTATCACACATTTTTCCAAACTTGTGTACGAACATATTATTTAATAATGCCTGGAATCATTAATTTTCTGTTAATAACGTTATATATATTTTTGAGTATTTTCTTTCTTAAGGAGCGTTTCGCTTTACTGGTAGGAATCCTGAAATCCTTGAACACATTATTTTCATTAAGCGAGGTTCCACTGTAATGGTTTATTATTTTTTTGTTTTCTTATAATTTGATATATAAATATTATTATTATTATAAGTTTAATAATAAAAAGTATATGTTGTATACTAAAACACATGTAAAGGTTTAAAATAGGATTTTTTTTATAGGATAAACAAATATAAACGGACTTTAAACACCGTAATTGTATACAATGGTATCAAATAACAGATTCGCTAAAACCAAGTAACTAATATTTAATCATTTATTTTTTTGTCATTTTATAATTCCATGTTATAGATATATTATTTCTTTACATAGAAAATCATAATAACAAATATATTATTTATTCAAATAGTAATTAACAAAAAAAAATATTTTTTTATATTTATACATAGATGCATTTTCCAATAATATTCCATGCAAATATTGTCTTTTTTTTATGAAATTTATTATTCGAATATCTTTTAGGTAAATAAATAATAGAACAATGCTATATTGCATTAGACCTGACAATTTAAAATTGATTATACTTAAAAAAATAATAATAAATAAAAAAAATCTTTATTAGTCACCAAAATTGTTTTTCATATATTTATCAAAATAAAAACTTATTATCTAATATAATATTTTTATTTGAAATCTTATATTGAGTGCAATACATTTTTTAATGAAATTCTTGTACAAGTAGTACATTTCTTCACTAAACCAACACTAATTTAATAATATTTATATAAAAAAAAGAAATTTATACCATGGCCAATATATAATATTTAAGGTAAGTTGATTAATTTGTTTTTCTATTATCGAAATAAAAATGCTTTATTTCCAAAGTCCAAAAATTAAATAAATAAAGATAATAACGCAGATAGTGTTTTTTAATTATATACAATGTAATGATAATTTTAAATATTTCATTAATATCATTTGTTATTTAATATGTAATGAGTTACATGACCTATAAACCTATAACTGTTTAGGTATGTTTCTAACAAAACAAATAACACAACATTTAGAACATTAATGAAATAGATTTTGGTAGTTTTTCTATTACCAACATGAAAATTTATAAACTTTGTGTGGTAATACATGACATTTTTGATGCCAGATGGCGCCCATTGAGAAGTAATAAGTGTATGAGTGTGTGGTGTGGTGTGTGACCCAGCCCAATATACTGTTCACTAGGATTTTTTACCACTAAACGGGCAAAACAAACAGAAGTACAGTAAAAAGTAAGTAAACTGAAGAGTAGAGATAATTTTTGCTGCAAGAAAACAGAGCCAATGCACCTCAAGATCGAATTCCGACGTCGAATTGTTCCGGGTTTAGTGACGTTTAGTGACGCTTTGGTATGCTAAAAATGGCAGCTTTTTGATAAAAATTCATGCATATTTTAACTGTATTTTATTACGTTTTCATTGAAAATGCATAATCAATGTACGTCGCGCACTGCCTCTTCTGAAGATTCGAATACTCGTTTAATAGGGAACGTCCTAAGCCGCCCTGAGCAAGGGACTCGCCCAGCAATTAAACTGCTATTCCATTCCACTATTCCAGAATACAATACAACTCTTAATTAATTACTGTTCTTTACTCTCTTTGCAGATCCGCATTTCAATATGCAAACAATTAAGTGTGTGGTTGTTGGTGATGGAGCTGTGGGTAAAACATGTTTACTCATTAGGTGAGTTTTGTAAATCATTTTCTATCCTTGATGTGTGATTGATTCAGTGTGTCCAAAAGATATAACCAATTCAATGAATTTCAATAAGCTTTGTTGCTTTTCAGTTTGCTTTATATGGAATGAGAAAGTTTCTTTTAACTGTTATTTGTATGCATCATTTATTCTTAACCATTTAAGTCAATAATAAGTAATTGATATTTGAAATTAATCAATATTGATTCATAACAACAACAAAAATATATGCTGATTTATGCATATTCAGTTGTTTGTTTTAAAAATTTCACAATTTGTTTATCATTGATGGATGTATGTAGTTGAGCTAATTATAAAAAAAACTAATTTTAGATATATTACTTTGCTTTCAGTTATACCACAAATAAATTTCCTTCAGAATATGTTCCCACAGTGTTTGATAATTATGCAGTCACTGTTATGATTGGAGGAGAACCATATACATTAGGACTCTTTGATACTGCTGGTATGTTTGTTATTCTTATCTAACAGAAACCAATTTATTCTAATTAATATATTTTAGGTCAGGAAGATTATGATAGGCTCAGACCTTTAAGCTATCCACAAACGGACGTGTTCTTAGTATGTTTCTCGGTTGTGAGTCCATCGTCATTTGAAAACGTCAAAGAAAAGGTAAGCGCATCGAAACATATTTGATTGTGGTGTCGTGTAATTTATTTTCCTCTTCAATTTGTCGTTGCAGTGGGTTCCCGAAATAACGCATCATTGTCAAAAAACGCCTTTTCTACTCGTGGGCACGCAGGTGGACCTTAGGGATGACAATACGACAATTGAAAAGTTAGCTAAGAACAAACAAAAACCAATTTCCGTGGAGCAGGGCGAGAAATTGGCCAAAGAACTGAAAGCTGTTAAGTATGTGGAGTGCTCAGCTTTAACGCAAAAGGGTCTGAAGAATGTCTTCGACGAAGCAATTCTGGCCGCTTTAGAGCCGCCAGAGCCGGTGAAGCGCAGGAAATGCGTCATCCTATAAACAGTAAGCACATTTAAAGAAAAAAACAATGATACAAAATAATCACCCACAATCTTAAATCATACGAGAAACGGAAAATAATATAAATATATCTATATATGTATATATAGATTTTTATATATATATATATAAACATCGTCTACTCCTGACTTACTATAATCAAGTCTTCTTTAAAACAATATTATTAGTGGCTGATATGTTATATATTTTTTTTACGAAGGAGTAACACCAAAAATGCAATGTTTGCTAAAAAAAATGTAATACAGTATACTAAGCTCAAGTCTTCAATTGGTTCTGCAGTGTTTGTTTTCTTCTATTATTCGAAATTATATTGGATATTTATTATTAAAAGTATGATATATGTATTAAGTTATCTCTTTTAATTTGTATTTTTATATATACTAATACCTCGTAAAGGTTTTAATAGATAGAAATATGTTTTAAACGCATTTTTTTCATTCTTTGCGCACCTAAATTCATGGGGCTAAGTGTATTTATTGATATGGTGCTAAGGAAACTAGTGAAGAAATATTGAACAAGGATAAAGGGGGGGATGGAAGGAAATGTCTGACGAGAGAAAGAGGGTATATGTGAATATATATATATATTTGGATTTTGCGTTGTTTTTTTCTCTCATGTGAACAGGGATTGAAAATTTTGGTTTAAAGCACATAATCAATACAACATTGTTTTCATTTTCGAGTTAAAATATATTGAAAAAGAATATCAAATTTAATGATAGTAATATTAAAACAAAAATATATAATAATTTAATAATCTTTTATACACAAAGTAAGCATATATAATGTGTAAATAAATGTGTATGGATGCTAATGAGTGCCTCTTATTATAATTTTTTTTTGTAATTTACTATAAACTATTCTATCAAGCATTTATATTATATTACCTATATATTATTGTTGTGTTTCTTTACTTCATACTTTTCTTTTCCCTGATAAAAAGTATTTTTTGAATAATTATTTTCTTAGTGTTTTAGGCTTCCCTGTGTGCTTGATGAATGAATGTGTAAATTTTAAGATTTATTCTAATATGTAATATTTAATATGAAATAAACATTTATACGTATTTTATTTATTTAATTTTATTCTTAAAGTTACTTATAATTCAGATTAATTAGCTTAATGATTAAAGGATATCCAAATCGTTATAAACGATTTGAGATGGTTTCTTGTTTTTCAGCACGTTGTTTTGATAATTGGCCCAGACCTCTGACATGGTGTATGCGGCCGGGTTAACTGATTCCATAAATCCTTGTAGATCACTCTCGCAATCGTAGTCCTCTAAAGACTTGGTTGCTTCTTCATGGGCTCTTATTGAATCTATATGGCCGCTAATGTCCACGAGATTGCTAACATACTGCACTCTTCTCTCCACTGGGATAGAATCAATCCAGTTACCAAAACGCTCGTTGCTATTTTCTATATTATAATCCTCACATTTGTTGGATTGATTACAATATACATCACCAGCAGAATTGCTTGTATAAATCGTTATATCTGTAACCATTTAAAATATTAAAGTATATATATATATATACAATTTCACATAAATATACCATTATCTTTAATTCTAAAATCCATTCCTGTAATACTCAAATCTAATCTATCCTCTATAACGTATCCATGTACCGGCCTAACTTTCATGTAATATTGTTCATATGTATGCATTATACTAGGCACTTGGAACGGTACGTAATTATCGACAGTATCCATAAATAAAAATATGTTCTTTGTACCATCTGACACGCACACATAATCTTCCTCACCAATATATCCATATATCATTAGTATTGGATGGTTTCTCAAAAAGTGTGTCCATTTCTTAATTAACTTCATTTCACGAAGATCAATTTTTATAACATCATGTTTGGTAGCCACAAAAGCATAATTTGTATCCCTTGTGCACATCGTCACAAGACAATTTGTATTACAAGCTTGCGCTGCCTCCTCCTCCTGTTCATTATTTATGACTTTAGAATTTTTGCTTCTCATATCAAACAGTTCCACGACATTTGCACCCATCAATAATACTTCAGAAGTACTCAAAAAATCGAATTGTGATAAATCATACTTCTTTTCACTCGCTTCTTCAATTTTGTGTTTGACAATGATCTCGTTTTTCTGTACATCATACATTTTAAACTCATGATTAACACATAGTGTACCAACATGGCAATCAGAGCTCATTTTTATATCTATATAAGGTATTTCTGAAGTACTTTTCCATACTGGAATTGTGTTAAGTGATCCCTCAATAATTGAAAGTTGTTCTACAGACACATCTTTTTTTTGTCTCATACAAAAATAATTAATATCCCCAAAGTTATAAACTTTAGTGTTATAAATCTGTTCACCATTTTTTACAATCTCATACTCTTCTTTTTGGCCACCTAGATTAGTAATCCCTAAAAAAATAAAATGAATTATATATTATTAAAATACAATGTATTATGATTTAATACATACATAATGTATTGTCTAAAATTGGCCTTATTAAATAAGATGTGTCACCCACTTCAAATCTGCTCAGAAAACCACCACTAAAATAATGGTCATATGAATTCAACATATACTCATCAGGATCTATTGCTACAGTTTTTTCAAACATGTATGAAGGTAATTTAATTGCTAGATTATTGGTATATAGATATCCATCAGGGTATTTATCACCTTCATATTTAATTGATAATCTATACTGATATTTTGACTTCTGGTCAGGGAGCACTGTGAAAGGATCTTGGTCTAAGATCTCTCTAGATGCTAGTAATATTGGAAATGGATTTTGAAAGCTTAACTCAGCTTCCTTATATGATAAATTTGAACTCATCATAGTTTGTTTAAACAACTGAAAAAATCACCAAATAATACATTTCAAAGATAAAAATATGTTGAATATAAACTCACTGATGATTTACGTGCACTCTGTGACATTTTGTTGTATGAATAATGGTTTATTGGATTTTTGCACTCTTGTATCCATGTAGAATACTTTGAAACCTGTTTACTTCCATTTGAATCCATTTTTTTTAATATATGTAACTTCAATAGCTAGGAAATCCTTTAATTATATATTGATTGTTATAGCTGCAAACATTTCAAAAATGTAAATATGTACATATATTCATTACTTTACTAATAATCTTTGTACATCCAAATTGTTGCTGTTTGCTGTGCTTGTTAATAACTTCAACAATTACAATATAAAGAATCAATCACAATTGAGCACAAACTGGCACAAACACAACAAGCCTTAAATATGAACATAAATAGATATATATCAATTGATAGCACTGAGACTGACTAAGACTGTCTTTGACACAATTTCCATTGTTACAACCAATCAAAAAAAAACTAAAGAATCTAAGTGAATGAGTCGATAAAAAAAAACAAAGAAAAGCAATTATTTTTTTAACTAATAAGAGCTGGGTTATTGATTATTATGAAATTTAACATAATTATAAATTATTACATTTTGAATCTTCTTTTTGGGGATAAAAATATTTTTTATGTCAGTTCACTGACTTGAAGTTATTAATCAGTTAACCTACAAAAATTATATGTCAGAAATAGATGTTTGATACTTAAAGAAATACCGAAAGTTCACTTCACTTTTAAAATAAAATGAAGAAGGTTGCAAAAAACAGTGTTTTGATGGAAAGGTTGCACAAAGGGTTTGTGTTAACTTGCTTGGGAATTACAATTTATGGTATGACTGAAATGGGAATGAGGTGGTACCGATACTTTACTGTGCTTAGGCCCCAAATCAAAGAGAAGGAACGTTTAGATAAACTTCAACTGTTGGCCGAAGGCAGTTCAGATGTACTGATTGACACTGCAGCAAATTTGAAAATGTAGATTATGTTTAAAAACCAATTGTATTGTAAAGTGTAAAGAAAAGATTAGAATAGAATAAATGTAAAAAAATAATAAAATTGCTCATTTTATATCCTTCTTTGAACCTGTGTATAAATAATATTTTAAATTTCCTAAATTATCTTTTTATTTTGTAAAGAAACTAAAAGAACCTTTAATTTCATTGTAAGCAACCAAATATACATGCAACAATATTTGTGTAATGCGCATAGTTTTTTGAAATATTTTAGAATTACAAATATTTTTCATGCATTGCATGCGATGATAATTAATAAAAGTTATTATAGCAAATTTTTCTATGGTTTGATATTGGACGATCGGCAACGTCGGGATATTTAGTTGGGTTCATGCGCGAAACAAAATGGCGCCCGCGGATCCAGTTGTTTCATGTACATTTAATAAATCATTGCAATAGTAATTTAACGAGTTACATTAGTTCATTGATACATACAATAGTTACATAAAATAAATATGACTTCACGAAGGTACAGTGCTCGTTTGGCAAAATCGGTCAGTGTGCTATGCACATATTCAAACAAAAATATCCACAAACAAAATAAATTTAAATTCATTTGTTTATATGGTCAATGATAACATTGTTTCTTGCAGATGGTTCTGGCCAACCATAAGTGGCCTAGAAGCTGAAACGATTTTACTTCAAAGGGGAAAGGACTACAGTTTCTTAGCTCGACCCAGTTCCACCAATCCAGGAAACTTTACCCTCTCAGTGAGGTAATGATCAGTTGGAATCACATCCAGTTAACCAATGATGAACTAATTATGTATGTTCTTTTAGGAGGAATGGTGAAGTGACACACATAAAAATTCAGAATTCTGGTGATTTCTATGATTTGTATGGTGGAGAGAAGTTTGCAACCTTATCAGATTTAGTGCAGTTTTATATGGAAAACCAGGGCCAACTGAAAGAGAAAAATGGAGAAATAATTGAATTAAAGTATCCACTAAATTGTGCTGATCCAACAACAGAGAGGTGAGTTGGTAATTTATTTATTAATGAAATTGAATTTGGTGCAGATAATAGCACTGAACTGCATAAGAAATATTTTGTAATTATATAATTAATTGGGAAAAGTTTATTGGTTCTATTGTTCCTTTGTTGATTAAGTAGGTGTAGGCTGGGTTTCCTGTTAGGTCTGTAGCTCAAGGACACATATGGTATTGATAATGTATGTTTTCAATAACGGTATTGTATTGTTGGATGTGGGTGTCGGTCGAGCTTTTTTCTCAAAATCTCACGGCCCAAAGTGTGAACTTACAGTGCTCTAATTATCTTTACATATCTAAAAATCATGTAAATATAATGGGATATATTCAAATTTGTGGAGCAGTGGTTGCTATAAGCCTTGTAGGAGTTTAATTTCCTGTTGCAATATAATTTCGTACCTTCGAGCGCGACATTGGAAATTTACGACCGGAATAAAATATCACTCTGTTCAAATTGTGACCATTATGATATGTCGGCGATCCACAAACGGTTTATGGAAATTCGATACTCGCTAATTTATTCTGTCACCTACATAATTTGTTTTTTTATTGCTACATTGTGTTCCAGCGTCGAGCAAATATAATGCGCTGGAACAATGGGAAATTAAATTGCTTCACTAATTGATGTAATATAGCATTTTATCCACATAATTAGACGAATTCAAATGTTGAAAATTTTGGAAAAACCTCGGATATAACAACAATCTTTTGTTGTAAATCGTGGTAAAATTATAATGCCGCAACAATTATCGTTGAATATTTAGTTAATTGGGAGGTAGATTAATGTATTTGATGTTAAATGAACTGAAAAGGATATAAGAAATTCGTGATATAAATTATTCAAATCTAATGAAATTACACGGGTTTAATGGAGGTGATAAAAATGGAATGTCCGATGATCCCGTCCCGTGTCACTTAAGAAACGCAGGGAACGTGCCTTCAGGCACATACATGGAGAACTAGAAAAACCGACGGCAATTTTTTAAATTCCATTTGTATTCAACATTCGTCGCTCCCATTTATAATGCATCTTAATTATTTCGTCGGTAGTCCCGAAGGTCACACACGCACGTCACAACACTTTGTATGTATTTGTCTTCTGTTTACATGTTATTATTTATTATGTCAGCACACCAACGAGCGCAGAGGCGCGAGGCACTGATTTATTGGTCGATTCACATTTTTTTAAACTGCAATATCATGAAAAGCTTATGATCTTGGCCGCATAACCGGATGAAAAAAGCCCATAAATATGCACATGTGATTCATGCTGCTCTCAAGGAACGTCTGCGGTTGAATTTCGTTGATTCATTCTCCGGAAATTGCGGAACCTTTAACAGAGATCACTAGTCATTGGTTGGGCCGTGAACCAAGCCAATTTTGAAACGAAAGTTCGTTTGTAAATGCAACAACATTCATAAAGGACAATCGAAATTGTTTATATTCCGAAATGTGTTCCACGCTCGACCCTTTTTAGATAATGAGTTAAATGCATTGCACAATTACCATTCCTAATGAAAAACTGTATTTTTTTCTCTCTCATTGGGAACAAAATTCCGGTAGATTCTCATAATTTTAAATAACACACGCCATTGGAAACATTGAATTAAATATGAATAAAATATAATGGATGCAAAAGTATGCGAAATGTTACTATTATTATACTGAAGGATTGACTATTATTGGATGAAACACACATTGTTAATGTAAAAATGTATTTAAGAAATAATTTCTTTCTTCAAAATAGCACTTACAATATTAAAAAATGCAAAGGGAAAGTTATAGAATTTTTGCAATATGTTATATATATAAGACTGTACTCATCACCTAACTAAAAGTTGTAATAACAGTGTCATAAGTCTTGCCAGATATATTTTTTTAAATCATGTACGTGTATCATTCGACCTCTTTATGTTTTAAATCATAAGGAAAGTTAATCTGTTTCGTTTCATTCGATTTTCTCGTCTCGGTAGATAAGCCAGGTTCCAAATTCTCGGAAAATTGATAATATTTGGAGAAGGAAATATCATTGTATATATATTTGAGGAAAAGTGAAGTGATAATGTTATCTTTGAGAAATTGTACATCAAATTAAAAAAGCAAATGCTCTAAGCCAACGGTTTCCAAACTGGGAGGCGCGGACTCTTGCCAAAAAGGGGAGGCGCCAAAAGTTTTTAATAAATTAATTTTTATACCATAATATCTTTAAATAAATAAAACGTGTCTATATTATTTAATCTATTAAAACAATAAAAGGTAAGGGAGGCGTGGAAATAATTTTTTTTTCGGGGAGGCGCGGAAAAAAAATGTATTTTTCGGGGAGGCGTTGTATCATAAAGTTTGGAAACCGCTGCTCTAAGCAATTTTAATTATGTCAATTTACTTAAAAACAACCTTGTATATAGTTATATGGATAGCCTTACAGTAATTCTATATGTTTGAAAAATAGAAGACAATAATTGACAAAATAATATAATTTTTGAAAATATCTGTCAATTAAAAAACAAGTATTATTATTCGAGGAATTCTCAGTATAATGGGAGTTTTACATTAAACTTAAGATTAGTAATGTATTTGTATTTGCTAATTATAATATTGTTATTATTATTATTGCTTTTCTCGTCGTATTACGTTTCTTGTCATATAGAAAATGTAAATATTAAATCTTATAGAAAAGACAAACAAAGTATAATTAAATTTGCATTATTTAGTATTTAAACAATATATTTCAACAAATAATTTTTTTTCTTATTCTCGTCGTTCTGTGGACATTTATGTATGTGTTAAGAAGTTTTACAAACAATAATAAGAAATTATAACAATGTGCATGTGCCGTAAGATCTTCAATTTTATTTTTTAGGCAATTATAGATGTATTAATAATTAACGCTATTTTAAATTTAAAGTTGCAAAATTTTGTCTAATTTAGTTTCTATATTATCAACTTGCAGAAAACAACGTACGAAATAGATACATTGTTGATTTGTGAATATACGCAACTTAAATATTTGTAATCATATGATAAATACGTAATATTTCAACATATTATTTATTATAAAATACGCATTTACCATTGAAATATGTATGTTGTTTTAAAAGTGAAAATTATCGCATATTTTATCATGATCAGCGCCGCAGCAAGAGGAGTTTGAAGGGGCGATTGCCACATAAATCGTGGGGGCGCATTAATATGTAATAGTATTGTTTTCTTGTGGAGATGAGGGCTGCGCATATTAAATATTTGCCACCTTTGGAGGCCCTGATGAACATTATAGATTAATGTATGTTTTCTTTTGTTTATATTCTCAATAAAGTTATAACTCGTATTATATTCATCTTACATGGGATACATTATTTATACATAATAATTATTACTTTTGAAAGTTAGATAATGCGGCAGGGCAGAATCGTATGTGTTTCATGTGCTTCTAAACTGAAAAAATAAATATATAAACTTTAACTTTAATTGAAGACTAAAAAATAACAATGTAGATATGAGTTTAATTAGTTGCTTTGTTAATAATCATTTGATAAGAAGGGGAAGAACCTTTGCACGTGAAAATATATCGCCTGTCAAACTCAAAACATTTTTCTTATCATGCAATAACTATATATAAAAAAATACAATTCAGACGTAAGTTTAATTAGTTGCTTTGTTGACGGCCATTTGTTAAAACTGGGAAGTATTTTTGAAAGTGAATAACAACTACCAATTACAGATGATATAAATTCATTTAGTGTTATAAATACAATAATATCAGAATACTAAAAATAATAGTATTTTCCAGTGTAAAATTAATTTTTAAAAAAATGTTATAAAATTTATTGTTCACATTTATTTAACATTAATATTATTGTTATCGAGGTGAAAGGAGATATTAAATAGAAGGTTGATTATGTTTTTCTAAGAGACATTTTTTTCACTATTTCACTTTTTCATTTATTGATATGTACAATTGAAAAATAAAAATATGTATTCAATGTTAAATCATTGAAGTTTCCGTTGAAGGCAAGAAGATTGTCGAAAAATACCTGTTTACTTATTTTTTTTTATATAACTTTTATTATTTATTCACAATTTGCCAACATTTCTGGCAATAAGTTGAATGTTAGTTTACTTATAGTAAAAGATCTGTATTCTTACTGATATTTAAAATATGACTTACTTATATAATATTTGTATGAACATTACCTAACCTAGTTTTTGGTTAGTTAATTAGTAAACATTTCAATCTTCTTAATGATTGATGTTAGCTGTAAACAATAGGAGATGTTAGACATTTATTACTAATTTTGGATACCAGTAAAAAGTAATCAAAGTAGTTAACGGAAATTGGATCATGGAACAATGAAATCCTTTAGTTGAGGATTGATAGCTTCCGTTAAGCAACGTTTGCTTTGCTGAATTGTTGTTGCTGACGGAATGTATTCATTTTATATTTAAGAAGTTATCAAATTCTAAAAATATTATTAATTTGACTGTTTGGTTATAATTATATGAAACAGAATAATTCATCGAAATATGCACGAAACGTTATAAAAAACATTTAGGAATGTCAGGGTGAACTGAAACTCGGTTTCGTATCGCCGTGTACAAATATGTTTCCAAATGAATTCGTGTATACAATTTCTGTGTTGTTTGTAATGTATTTATTCCTTGATTCTCACACAATTGACGAACATGCTTTAATGTGTGGAATCCTATTAAACAATTTATTCGCGTTACGCAAAAAGATGTTCCAAGTTTACGTTATTTGAAAGACACAAAAAAATATATAGAAACGAAGAATGGGAGAGAGATGGTAACCAAGACAAAAGTCCCCGCCGAAAGATGTCGGTTGTTATTCCCAGTTTGGCACAATTTGTTTTAATTTTGTAGCGATACAAGCAAATATCACGTACATCACCAGAGACGCAATCGAATTCTGATGAATCAAAGTTTTGAGAATTTACCTCTCAAGTTCGGTTTACAACGCAAAACACCATT